CTCACCCAACGCAGTAACGATGCCCAAGGACGACGCTAATACAGGCGAGGCCTTACGGCTACTGCTCCCGCGGTATCGGCCGGAGGGGGCCAGCAGCGGGTTGTGCCCTCAAAGCGAGGCTCGCCGCTCGCAACATCCCCGAACGCTTGGTGCGGCCCGCGACAGCCGCACCTGAACGCCAATGCGCGGCGCGCAGCAAAGCGACGGGCTCGTTTCCACGTGCCACACGGCGAACATCTCTAATAGAGGAAGAAGCTAGGCCTGCGACGACCTGGCGCCGCCCCTTATGAAAGATTCTCAGAACCCGGTTGAGATACATCGAAGTCTATCGTCTATCCCCGTCCATCCTCCCCCAACCCATCTCCCTCAAACCCCGCCCGCACACCGCATACGACCCTTATCTGCGACTTCATATCCCTCCTGAAGAGTAAATGTCCCTGTGCGCTCTGCGCCTTCTATAAGCGGGGACGGATAGCAGAGACGCATAAGCTGAAGAGGTGCTCACATCAGCGGAATCATCGGAAGCCCAGGGCTGGTTACAATGTTCCGTCGTACCGTGCCCGCGGCGGCGGCAAGGGGGCGCGGTGCCACGCCTGTCGGTTCCCGCTAACGCTCTGTTGGCGGACGGTCTACCGGGAACAAATGGACGAGTGGTACGGCAATGCAAAGGCGCTGGAGAGGGAGGTATACTATGTAAGGAGGTACAATGCTATGGGTAAAGGCCGTGCAGCGGTTTGTTACACATGCATGATCGTAGAAGGCATTGGTGCTGGTACCGGCGTGAGCACCCTGGGTGCAATGGTCCTGGAGGTGATGGGCTGGTCGGACTGGTCGGGTCTGTTGTCGAACGGGCCCGAGCATATCGTGGATGGCTAGAGATGGATGAAGTGGATGGGCTCTGGTGCCCGCGACTCTCCTACGGCTGTTCTGGCTCCTAGCCCACTGCTGAATAAGGTAGTATAGTCAACTACTGAAATCAAGTTGGAATTCTTGTTTCCTTCGGTCTTCCTCTTCCCTTTTTTCTCTTTTTTCCCTTTCTTCCTTTTCTTTTTCTTTTCTTTTCTTTTTCATCTGCCCTCTTCCTTCCTCCCTCAGCGATTCTTTCCCATACACGCGGGAGCCATGTGAGAATGCCCCCTATCAGTCAACAGCAACGTGGAAATTTAACTTGAGCCTGACTAATCGGGAAGTCACCTAGCAGCATCTCGGCAAGCAGGAGCGAAAGTGGAGAGAAAGGCACTATATAACTAACTACAACTGCCTGCCCTTACCTGCGTACTTGCCTGAAACACCTACTTAAACACCAGGCTAAATCCACACTCACACTCACACACTCCCACATCTGATGCCTTTGTATTAGCGTGGAGCTAGCTAATGAGCTGGAGCAAATCAGAAACCTACTATTGTGCATCTCCTACTACTGCCTTATAAGGCCTATTAATATCTTGCGAACAGTATTGAGTACCTACCTGCAAGGTACCTCAGGCAAGCACCTACTGACCTAAAACATCACCCTCTTAATTCTCATGCTAAAACTGTTGACTGCTTAGTTTACCCTCCCTGAAGCGGACCTGCCTCAAACACGAGATATTCAATGCTTACCTGTCAACAACGCAAGAGATCAGGAAACTACCTAGTACCAAGAAATACCTCCTCACCTCCCCATCGCCCAACCCTACAGGAGCGAGCGTTCCGACCAGGAGGAGCAGCAGGAACGAGCGCGACACGCTTCACATCAGCAATCTACCCCTCCTAACCAGCATGGACAGGCTCCCCGCGGAGATCGTCGACCTCATCTTCCGGAACATCGCTAGCCCTGGAACCGGCCTGCGTCACATCGCCCCGTTCCTCCGATGTGGTCGACGATGGTTCGAACACGCCGTCCCCTTCGTCTGGAAGAGTGTGCCTCCTGGCCATTACACAAGAGTGTATAGACAATAAGAGGAGGGCCCTGTAACCGTCACAAATCGAGACACTCACCGGCTGGGACGGACGGAAGTGCGGCTGCGCGCCTTTGCCAGGCGAACGACCCACCAAACTCACAACCTCGCCAATACCTCCTTCCCCATGTGGACCTCACCTCGATCTACCGACTCCCATTCCCAAGGCTGAGGCAGATACAGCACATGAGGTTCAATGACCCAACGTTACCCGAAATGATCGAAAGACTCCACACGCAGATGGCAACACCATCACGAGACTGGAAGTCAGCCAGTGGCATGTCGAGTCCGCCCTCCCGGACTTCGTATCATTGCTGACGAATCTCTCCCAACTCCGCGTCGACCATCTGGCATACCATCACGACGAAGTCTCAGTTGTGCAGCCAGCGTGGGACAAGCTGACGTCCGCCAGCATGTTCCGAAACCTGACGTACGGATGTGACGAGTCTGCGATAATCATACACGCCCTGTCCGACTGCCCAGAGCTGAGCAGGCTGCGCATTACTATAGAGCCGGCCATCTCGAGCCTTCTGAGTCCCCTACCCCCAAACCACGCGGATTGGTACAAGCGCCGAGGTCAACCCTTCAGATCTCTCACCAAGCTCGACATCAGACCAATGAGAGAGTGCACCTCCCTGTATCAAGAGCTCGCAACCATGTCAGCCCTGAACTCGCTCACCGTACGGTTCAGGCCAGCCATCATCTCGCCCGCAATCCTCACGTACCTGTCGAGAATGACGCAGCTGCAGGAGCTCCGCCTGATTGGAACGTCTCGCGGTGGACGGATGGGGCTCTGGAGCCGTGGGACGTTCCCCCCCAACAACGCTTCGGATGCGATCAGAGAGGGATGAGCCAACTCAAGACGTTCCAACTCAGCCTCCCCGGCGTCTACTCCCTCACGCCCGGCCAGGGAAGCCGCCAGCACATGTTGGAGTCGATTGCACGCAACAACCAAGAGATAGAGGAGCTGGTTCTCGACGCGAGCCTGCGGCTGCCAGCAGCATCTTCTTCCTGGCGGCCCCCACCACCAAACTCGACACGCCACGACACCGGGAAATCAATGAAGATAACCCTCCACTCCATCAGCATTCCAAGGGAAGGAGAGCCTGGCCGGTCGATGAGGGTAGCGGAGGTCGTCAAGCAGCTCCACACTATATTCCCAAAGCTGCGGTCCCTGTTCACCTCCGCGGACGAAATGGAACACTGTGCGAACCGTAACGGTCCGTTGCGAGGGTCGGGTGGGTTAATCAAGCCATCTTCGTCGCTTGCGGTCTAGGCGGTCTCCCGAATTGCGCATATGGACCTGCTGTTCTCAAAAGACCGACCGATCTCAGTCGAATCGAAACCGTCCCGCAATGGAACGCAGGCATCCACGTTGCATCAGATCCCTTGTCGGATCGTCCGCCCGGCCGCCCGCCCGCCCTGTGACGAGCGAGAGAACATACCCGCAATCGAGAGGGGAGTATTCGTGTCCGAAGAGGAGAAGGAGCGACCGCAGTTCGCGACGTAGGCACTAGGTAGGGAGGGCTTGGGGCACGTCTAGGGAAGTGGAGGATCAGGGCATCGCCTGCATATAGGGCAAGGGTATCATAGCGGCCCAACCGAACTTCATAACACCTAATAAGCCTTGGACCTGTACATCTCAATCCACGGCGATGTGCGCAAGATTTCATTCACTCATCGTGACAAGTAGTAGGTAAACGCCTGTGCTATCAAGTCGAACCGAAAGGCCTGTTTAAATTTGAAGGCCTTGACAGCTAAGCCAGCCAGCCTACGAATACAAGCGACCGATATAGGTACACCAGCCAGCAAAGGAGCTCTGAGGAAATCGGCTGCTCTACCTCATCTGACGCGCGGTATAGAGACAGCACCAAACAGCCAGAAGAAGGCCCCAGCCCCTGGGAGCGGAAGAGAGAGAGGAGAGAGGAGGGGGCTATCAAAGCCAAAGCCGGCTATTAGAAGTGCTCATTCGACTTGGCCCATGACCGCACCCCTTACCATCTCAACGACTGCATACCAACTTTGCAATAGCTAACACCACTAGCCCAGGCCAGACAAGAAAATGGCTTGAGATCAGAATGGAGAGTTAAGGTAGCCTTATAAGAGCAGATGAGGGGCGATCACCCGGGGGCGTAGGCTCAAACCAGCAACCCTAAGCATAGCGCACACACACGCACACCCTTCTTCCAAGGGATGTCTTCCAAAGCCTCTCAGCAGCACCCGCCACGCCTTCTTTATAGAGGTTGGTTCTTTGATATGACACTGCCAGCTGTCTATTCTCAGAGCCGAAGGGGCGGGAGGCTCGGCAAATCGCTATTCGGAGAAAGTCATGCGGTTTTTCGCCGCAGCTAACCAGACGCCAATTAAACAGCCTGGAAGAAGCATCCTTGCCGGACCGCGACATCGCAAGTCTCTCATTAGAGACACCTAGAGGCGTCTTGACCAAGGCATTGATCTAAGGTATCTAGCGTTTAACCTAACACCGCTGGGATCTGAACAATACCTTAGTAATGGACCTCAACTTTCAGCATAAGCGAGGCTTTCTACAGCATGACGTTGGACTAGGACGTGCGTATTACTCAATGCCCTATAGTAGGATGGAACCCTTTATTTTCCTTATACCTTTTTTGCTTTTTTCTCTCTTCTCTTTTCTCATCTTTTTGGGTTTTCTTTTCTTTTTCTTCTTCTTTTTTCTTTCTTTTTTTCTTTTGGTTTGTTCCCCCCCCGATATCTTCCTCCTACTGTAATCATCCTTCTTTGGAGTTCTTTCTTGTAGCTGCTGATATAGTCCTTACGACACCGTCCGGTTAGGCAGGTACATGATACTCGATTTGCAGTTTTCCTGCGTTCTTCACAGACCGAGCCTGATTCTAAATGCTTGCTTAACAGATTAAACCCCCCAACCCCTATCATCATTGTGAAGGATCCTGGGCGAAGCAGCTCATAACTCTAAAGACCACTAGTAGTGATTTCTAAAAACCAGATACTCTAAACCTGGCTCTGTAGATATGGTCCGGCCTCCCTGGCTAGGACGTCAGTTACATATAACCATGAGATGTGCCTAGCCTAGACGTCCATGTCGCATTTCAAGGTAGCGTCGAGCCCCGCGCGGCCGCCCCTTGCCCATAGCTTACAGCCATGGTATGTGTTATGGTCCTCTCGTCCCTTGAAGAGCCTCAGAGCCTTAGATCCTCACTTGTGGAAATTCAACTAACGACGTAGAGATAGCTAACCTGAGCCGGCGCGGGTTAGGCAGTTAGGGTCATCATGGTTAGGTCGTTCGGGTTATGGTATATGTCCCTATCGTCTTAAAGATTGTGGCTACCAACTAAGCGGTGTAGGGTCAAGTATACAACCCTATGATCACTATTTACACATGTTGCTGATTTCTCTCAGCTTAAGTCTAGGTAATCCTCGGCCCAGACGAGGAATCCCGCATTGGGTTGATGCTTATATAAGCATGCATTGCATGTAATCATCGCTCGAGTCCCATCTCGCTCATGCCCACCCTCACAGCACGCTGCAGTACCTAGATATGCACTCTTTTTTTTTTCACACTTTGGTTTGTGTGAGGTACCTGTTAACATAAGGTACAACTAGTTAGTGTAGGAAATCATAAGGCCTGTATCCAAGGTAGCTGCTGCCTGTAGGTACGCATTCTGTGTGCACGTTCTAATGAGGGCGCGCAACAGGGGCGAGTGAGACCAGCCTGCCGGCTGTTAGCCTGGGCAGCCTAGACGAGCTCGCCCGATCGTCAATAGAACACCAGGCTTCACACCAAGCACCAGTCCATATAACGGGGAAGCCGAATAATCATTCAGGATCTCCCGCCAGTAAGATTCAAGGAGTCTGCCGAACAAGCACGCAGGTCTTTTATAACCTAATCTAAAAGCAGGTATCATGCCTTTTCTGTACTCAGCCGGCCGGATACTGTAGTGGACGAACACCCTCCATGCCAGTCGCAGCTGAAACAATGCAGGAGAGTCACCAGGTGCTGCATGGCTCAGTGGTATAATGTATCTAGCCTCACAGAGCTAGCTCCCTCCGCCACCTGGTGGGTATACAAGAGCACCTGCAGCAGCACATGTGTGTTTTCCAGCTCGTAGGCGACGAATTAATCCATAAAGGGTGATATCTATAAAGCAAAGTAGTTAACCCCGGCCCCCTCCTTGTTCGCCGCGGCTGCTGCGACCCTATCTCCAAGCCGCCCATATGCCAAATGTGTAAGCCATAGATAAAAAAGTATACAAGCCGGGAGCACGACAGCTCGCCTTCTGGAATCAAAAGCAGCCGCCCCACACAACCAACGCCATTCCCGCCGCCCCCTCCCGGAACCTCGCACTCCTCTCCTCGGCGGCCTCGGGCGGCTCCTTGTACCATGGTGCTAGGTCCTGCACCTTTATTAACCCCTCTAAGCTTCGGAACAGGCCGAGAACCCTCCGCCTCCTCCTGCGGTCCCTCAGAAACGCTTCTGTCACTGATCTATCGCTTTCAACGAGGAAAACCCCCGCAGCCCTTTCAACCATGTTCGTGCAGATGTCTTCGCCGTCGGGGCGGTGGCGCTTAGCCCCGACCCGCAAGACGAAGTCTCGCGACAGCTTCGCTTCGTAGTGCGTGTGTAGGGCCATCGTCTGTCGCGTGACAATGTGCCACGAGTGCGCGATGGCCTCTTGCATAAGCCTATCGTCCGCATGCCCTCTCGAGAACACGTCAAAAGACGAGGTGTAGTCGTTAAAGTAGGCCTGGTGCTCAGCGTCGCCCCAAATCCTGTTCGTGGCTTTGGCGTCCAGCCAAGCCGTCTGCCTTGCCTGGAGGAGCCCAATAAAGACCTCCTTGAGCAGGATGAGCATCGCCCGATTAAGCAGCCTGTCAGACAGAATGATTGCCTCCGCTACCGAGGACAGTGTCATGCGCGAGGCGATAGACATCAGGCCCTGCCCGCTTGGCTTCCCGTTAGCCCATGCGGCAAAATACCAGTGGTGGACGAAGGACAAGTAGGCATATACGCACTCAGGCCGGACGTCGTCGTCGTCGCTAAAGTCTACAGACCTGTCGAAGCCCTCCCTGTAGAATCCCATTATGCACAGCCTTGAAAGTACGACGAACACTCGACGATGATGTCGCGGTGGACGAGGAACGTTGTAGAGTGGCACCGTATTATGATTAGCTGCGTTGTGTCCCTGTAGGAAATGTTAGCGAAACCGCCCAGCCTGCTGCTACACCTTAGCCTACTCCCATGCTGATGAGGAGGCGGCGTTCCCGATACGTAGTCTCTAACCTGCTCTTCTGGGCTGCCGCGCCCTTTGCGAAGTCGTATAGTAGCCGCACCATATCGCCTTAGGGGAACAGCACAACAGAATAGGTGTGCGTGCGTGTATGTGGTGTGTGTGTGAAGAGAGAGAGGAAGAGAGATGGCCTAGGTGACGGCCGGCGGTAAGGTACCTAAGGTATGTTGAGGTTGTATAGTGTAAGGTGCCTTAGCGGTCGCTTGATGTGTGGTGTTTAGTGTTACTGAGGTGGACAGTGCAGTTGGGTGGGAATAAGCGGCTCTGACCACCTGCGGGCTGGTGGAAGGTGGGCTTTGGTGCATTAGAAGGAACCTAAGGGTCATGGGATTGCAGAAGATGAATGTGAAGTTGGGAGGGCGGGAAGGGTAATTGCGAGGAGGCGTCACCTTCCCGACGGGAGAGTTGCATCCACTGGCTCTAACCAACGCCGAGATAAAACCACAACTGCAAAGACGACGCCGGCGGGAAGGCCCATGGGATGACTTCCGTAACGAGAAGGAACGGCGGGGGACCTCCTGGAATCGGCAGCGCAGGCACTGCCCGGGCCGGCTAGTGTGCTTAGGTAGGTTTATGCAGATGGCAAGTGGTGAAAACCGCGGCTCGGTCGGGTGCGGGCCGGAAGGCGCAGGCAGCCCAGGTAGGTAGGTACGCGTGTAACCGGGTACCTCGGGGAAGGACCTCCTGGGGACGTAGCTTGTTAGCGTGTAAAGATGAACGAACACCTAGGAACACTCAAACCGCCGCTTAGAGGAGGGTATACTTACCACGGGGCAACACTATACATAGACAAAACGACACGACACAATTGCAGTTGTCCTGGGGAGCGGGGTCGCTGCTGCGCAACACTGACAGTGTAGTTATGTGTGGACCCTACCTTACCTTAGGTGATACTCTCCGTCTGTCTAGGGAAAGGTACGTTGAGGTAGTTAGGGGTGCAGAGGATAAGTGGCGGGGCAGAAACTAAATCGACGTTAGCTAGAGACTCGCGGGTAATCTTAGGCGGGCGCTAGAAGCAGCAAAATCAAGCCGGATGCTCTTAAGGCGTGTATAATAGGCAAGACCAGAGCTTGGACCAAGGGGGGATATAGTAAGAAATTAGGATCCCAGAGTACTTCTGCAACGGCGCGGTGGGTGACCCCTTCCCTCCCTCCTACCTTATCTTTGTTTAATACAACGTCCGTTTTTGAAGTGGAATTAGAGCGTGAGGTAGTGAGACTCCTGACAGAGAGCAGGTACGGAGCACGAATCACCTCACAGCACCTTATACTCGAGCCGTATAATATGTAATATTTGCGAACCGTTCAGGCAAAAGGCTGTCTGCTTGTCTATTTCAAATCGCTCTTTCTCCCTCGCTCACCACCACTGCAGCCTCAAGCCTCCTTCCTTCACAAATCCCATCCCACAAACCCCTACCTACCATGCCCATCGAAAACAACAAGTACCTCTCATACCTTAGACTTGAGTACCTACCTATCTATCCATGGCATACCCTCCAGCGTCGTACACCCCGAACTCATGCTACCTAACTTCCTTATAGCAACCCCTCTTCACTAAAAAAGCAGTACTAACACTAGCTACCTCATACAGTCATTACCATCATACGCATCTTATAATCCACGCGCATGTTTGACGCATGCATCCCGGGGCGCTACTGCTAACGCTACCGGGACCCCCCGGCCCCCCCGCCTGGCTAGAGCCCCGATTTGTCGCCATGGCTTCCTTCCCTGCTAACGCGGACCGGCCCTTCCCCTTAGGGAGACTACCCCGCGAGCTGATCGACTGCATCTTCAGCTACTACATGTCGATAGAAGAACCGTTTGAGTACCTGATCCCCTTCTCAACGGCCAGCTCGTTGTGGTTCGACCTGGTCCATCCCTCTATGTGGGCGAATGTCTGCCTGAACGCCATTACCTCTGAGGACATCAAGCCCGCGAAGCGACAGCAAGCCCACACGAAACAAGATTGATTGGGGAGATTGTCGACCCCGAGAACCACAGATGCCGTCGATGCACGGCATGGGCGCCACATAAGGTACCGTCCATTACGTCCACTTCCGAGCCGCCGAGGGGCCCGGGCACCTGGGCGCTGGCATTGGTAGAATGGAAGGCTCCGGCGTTTGGTCCCGCAGATCGGGGCTCAGGGCTTTTACTACCACGAACGCGAAAAGATGGGGCTATGAGGGTGGAGTTCGCCCGACGCACCCATGGGGTGGGTGTCTTGTTGAACACCGAGGTTGAGGCCGACGCGGAGGCTGAGGCAGAGGCTGAGGCGGAAGCCGGACGGACGACGATCACATCGTTCCAAGTTCGCATGTCGTACTCATAATCTCTTACTTGTAATTACTAAGCCGGTTGCAGTCGACAGAGGCGTACTCGGACGCTTCCAAGGCCCTGAAGATGTAGAGAACAACTTGGGGCTGCTAAAAACACCTCATCCCGACCCCTGGGGTCAGCCATTCCGCTGTCTAGAAGAATTCAGCTGTATGGGCTTTTTTCTTCGTAGCCGGGATGAAGTCTAGGAGGAGCGCTGTGCGAGTACCATTCGGCAGGGAGGTTGGAAGCGTTCCAGAGTACCACAGATATAATAATACTTCGCACCGAGCGGACTCGCCATCACTAAACAAGGATGACCTGCAGTTGGAAATCCAGCCCGATAGGCTGGGAGCGAAAATTCCACCATTGTGGCTGATTCGCATTTCATTAGCTACCTAAAAACGCCTGATATCAAAACAACAACGCCTGATAATCACGTCTGATGATGACTGCAAACCCACCGCGTGCTCTAGAGTTATGAACCCCTAGGTCCCCTACCTTCCCCCTTCACACCCCCTTCTAAGCGCCGGGTAGGCACTCCCTCAGCATTCCATTGCCATCACATGTGTCTTCTGCCGAAAGGGAGACCCACCACCTGCTCAGCCGCCCATGCTGATCAACTCGTCATCATCCACATCCCAGACGCCGCGGTGGCGGAGGACGTTGCGTGCGAAGTAGGACGGGCCACCCCCAGGGAGAGTAGCAGCCATCGGCGCGTTAGCGGCGTACCCTGCGAAGATAGAGATGTATTCCTCGAGAGTCTTCTCGGCGCTGGTGCTGGGGTTGAGGATTTTTTCCAAGCCGAAGGCGAAGCTCAAGCCTGCGTCGCGCATAACAAAGTGCTTGAGCCTGACTACCGGGGTCGAGAACAGATCGATAGACATGACCTCCCCCTCTGGCCGCCGGACCTCAGCCTTTCCAAGTTGTAGTTGTCCAACGCCCCTCATGATCTCGTGGTAGTAATGGTCCCCACTCTCTCCGTTCGCGCTGAAGGTGGCAACATCGTCAACCAAGACACCGAACCACTTGCCCCTCGCAGCGCCACTATCCATGACGTGTACTGAGAGCCTAACATAGGCATGGTCAGGCGTGTTGTTGATACTGCCGTTGTAGAAGCTAACCAAGGCCACGACCCGAGCGCTCCCTCCAGGGGACGCCCCAGCCTCGGCCAGACCCTCCGCCTTTAGGTCCACTGCGGTCCGAAGCCTCTCTGACAGGCGCTCGTTTGATGTACTGAAGATGATAGAGGGTTGCTCGCTTGACTGCTCGTTGGCAGCGTTGACGCATACAGCCGCCTTGAGCGCCAGCCGACGGCCGATCTGATTGTTGGATCCGCTGATGTGTTGGGCGAAATCATTAGCGCGCGCCGCCATGTGCGATCTCCATCAGGGAGAGCTGGTTATCGCCAATGGCATACTCGGGATTAGAGTCGCTACTCAGCACCATGCGGAGCTCCGTCAGAACGCCTGTCGCAACCAGCTCCTCCTCACGCTGGCGCCGGGTGGCGCTGTCGGGGATGATGGTACGGGTTTGAGAGGCCATCGCTGTAGACCGAGATTAGTATGTGTAGCAGTGGACTGGAAGTAGGCAACCGCGTAGAGGTGGGTGTGTCTGTGTGTGCTTACCTTCCAGGTGTGGGGTGAAGTTGAGGATGTGGGTAGGCTGCCAGGTGCGGCTGGATTTTTGGGGAGAGGTCGGATTCTCGGAGGAGAAGGTTGAAATCTCGGGAAGAGGCCCAAAGGCAGGAGCCGAAAAGGTAGTAACTGCTACTGTTGCGGGTATGTGCCTTGGTCGAGAGTCTTTCGGAGTTGCCTGCGATGGTGGGCTTGTAGGCTGCAGCGTTTGTGATGTGATGTGATGCTGTTGATGTCCAGAAGAGGTTTGAAAAGGGTAGCAGATGAGCCTCGGCCGCCTTAAATACCTTACCTAGCGCGGCGGGTGGTGAGTGTCAAATGAGGAAGTTGCGATGCAGCGTGAGTGCAGGCAGGCTGCACCGGTGATGTGGGTGGAGGGTTCCACTCAATAGGTTCCAAGAAGGAGGGACGGGCCTGGAGTAGATGCCTGAAGCCAGCGGCAACAAAAGAGATGGCGAGAGAAGGCAAGCAAGCTACCGGTACAAAGACAGGTAACACCTACTCAAAAAGGGAGAAGGCAACAGTTTCCAGATCCGGGACGAGGCGCAAGCGGCAGGTGCATGCTACTGGGCGTAGCGACCTCAGGAGGAAAGAAGGGATTAACCCATTCCTCAAATGATCGTGCTGACAAAAGCGGCAGTTACCAAGCCGTCAAGGACGTAGCTTCTAAACCTGAGAAAGTGATGAACTTCTCTTTTCTTTTCCTCCCCTCCCAAGAGGTATCTCTCCTACCTTGATTTCTACGACAGGTGCGGTGCATCCCGCCCCTTCCTCCACCATTATCATGTCAATAGGTGCGTGACACAGGTTGAAGGCTCTTCAGAGGCGGGCTGCAGTAAGGGTCAAGAGAACGGATTACCGGAATCTGCGCCACCCCCTAACTCCTCCCAAGATCCGTGTAACCTACAACCTATATATAACCTCGTAGGCCCTTTTCTACCATCATCATCTACGACAGGATCTCGCCGCATTTCCCCCACCCCAATGAATACACAACGGGCAAAGAAGAGGAAAAGCAACACCAGCGATGTCTAGGATCTGGTCAACCCATCACGAAGTTAACAATAGAAGCTACGGGATGATGTAAGTCGACAGGAAGAAGAGGAAGAAGAGGAAGAAGAGGAAGAAGAGGAAGAAGAGGAAGAAGAGGAAGAAGAGAGAAGAGGAAGAAGAGGAAGAAGAGGAAGAAGAGGAAGAAGAGGAAGAAGAGGAAGAAGAGGAAGAAGAGGAAGAAGAGGAAGAAGAGGAAGAAGAGGAAAGAGGAAGAAGAGGAAGAAGAGGAAGAAGAGGAAGAAGAGAAGAGAAGAAGGCTGAGGTGAGCACAACGAGGAGGAACACTTAATGTCGCGAGGCTTACCGACCACCTTAAATCCAAGGAGCTTGAGCAAGTTCAAGATCGGACCTCTGGCTTCTGAGGTTTACCGCCTGTATTAAATCCGGGACTTTAAGCAAAAAGGCGTCTCGCCAGCGCTCCAACTCTTCATCCGCGCCGACTGATATTATGTTCCATTATCACCCCGATCCACCGTGCGAGTTTCCCATAAAACCTCTCTGTGATTCCGTCAAGACCGCCCAGCACTTGTGTGATATGTGTAGACAAGTATTCCATGGGTGTATGCGGACGTCGGTTAGCTATTAGACCTCTATGAGGGCTCGGACGATTACGAGCGTCTCTCATCCTAGCACAGAGAGTTGCTTCTTCTTCTCACCTAGGTGGTGGCTAAACCACATGATAACTATCGTGTACTTGAAATTCTTGTCGTCGTTGATCCGGGTTCCAATTTAGGTTCGTCTCCAGCTACTAACTGCCTTTTGTTGTGCGAGACGTCATCGTCACAGGCGACTCACGAACACCACCATCATATTCATGCCTGGCCTGTTTGTCTCTTGCCTGCGCTGGCGCGCAGCTTCTGCGTTGACTCCACTGCTGTTAAATGCCTTACTCACATTCAAACGAGGGCTTAGCCGAGGACTTGCCCCAATCACCACACCGCTCCTGCCACCACAAGCCCCCCCATGCTAGATACGGCATTGTCACAAGCTATCTACTACTGCTATACTCACCCCAGCCCATGGGTTGTTCCTGCCTCCTGGTACGTAAGGTACCTTCCGCACGCGGGCTAGCCTCTGTCGAGACCTCTCAGCTGTGTCATTAGGTGAAGGCCTCACTCCTAACCAGACTCGGGCCAGAGAGTTGGGTTCCCCCAAACACCACCACCAGGTACCTTACTACTACAAACAACAACCCCATCCACAATCAATCACCACAATCACGACCAGAAGCCGCCGCCACCGCCACAGCAGGCCTTGGCCAACAGCTTCCGCCTTACCTTCCTTCCCTCACGCTCAAGACACCAGGCCAGGGGTGCAGTACAAGAGACGAATATCTCCTCCACCCTCGGTCCTATCCCACAAGCTCAGGTTTCCTTCCTAACCACCACTAGCAACAACCTTAAGCTTCTTCTCACACATCACCTATCAACACCGAAGCCTCAGCTAGCCGCACTTCACATCAATCCTCCCTAAGGTAGGGAGCACGCTACCCCATGAATACCCATCGCTCCTTCCGACCAACCTTACCTACACAATGCTAACAGGTGCTCAGGGGAACCCGCAGAGAAGAAAAAGAGAACGGAAGGGAAAGGGAAAAAAGGAAAGGAAAAAAAAAAAAAAAAAACACCGCAATGATGACTTCCCCGCAGCGCACGGTCAATGATACCTTGGCTTTCATCTCCAGGAACCTCGTCTCCCGCCATGCTGTCGAGTCGATGACCAAGGACACCCTCGAGAGCAGGCCGACGGACGCCGAACTCCGCCGCCTATGCCAGGACACCATCCTCACGATGAAGGAGTTCACATCGGGCCACCAAGTTGTCTCCTGCGCCGTGCCAGGGGCTGTTCGGGCTCTAGCATTGGCCTTCGACAAGCTTCAGCAAGCAGACACGAGCAGGCTTTCGGTTATCATGAATGGGGGTATCAAGATCGGTCGGGAGTGGGATGAGGACGCATTCCAGGAGAATGGTCGGATGAGATTCTTCAAGGATATCATACATGAGGAGGTCCCCGGAACGCTTCTCTGGGAGGTTGAGGTCATCTCTGTCCCCGACGGCTCCGGCGGCTGCCGCAAGGAGCTGAAGCACGACACCACCCACGTCTGGGTCCCCTTTAAGCCTGGCGCTGGCGAGGAGGGGTCTCACCTGGGCGACTTCTATGCCGCGTTGTTCCAGGAGTACCTGAGCGTCGCGAACAAGGTGCCTGGCAAGACCTCGGCCAAGTACTTCGAACGCACCCCGTCCACCAACGAGCTAACCGTCTGGGACACCACTGGCAACCACGTCAGCAGCTTCGCCATGGCAATGATGCACGTCCTGGCCGTCCGCATTGCCAGGGTCAACCCTTCCGACGACGAGAGAACCAGCCTCCGGAAGATGCTGCAGGACGAGATCGTGGCGCGCTACTGGATTGCGGAGTGCAGGGCTGAGGACAAAAGCGACCAGAAGTCCACGTTCTTCTCGATGGGACTGCTGTTCTGGGCCATCACCCACCCTACGGAGCTGGAGGCCAAGATCAAGGGATAGTCGGGATTGACGCCAGGGAGTCTAGCTGCGAGGATGAGCAGGGACGTGTCGGGTGGCTTTGCGACGCATGAGGATCAAAAATCATCAGGCTGCCCGCTTCTGGCAGAGTGAGGGAGTTGAGTTGGTAACCTACTTAGGTATTACGTGTCGTAAGGGGGGTGGATGGAGGTGGAGGAGCCGTAGGCATGGAACCCAAGGTACCTACCTAGCCAGCCTACCTATTGATGAACATGGAGGGCCAGTAAGCAGGTCTCCATTTCTAGAAGAACACAGTCGGTTAGTACTTGGTCGCCTTTCCACCGCTTCCGCTAGGTGATGACGGCTTTGGTCTCGGGGCAATGTTCAACCCCAGCCAACCCATGATATCCACTTCCCCTTCTCCCGCCGGTCAATCGGAGACCGCGCTTAATTGTACGCGCCAGTCTGATCTGCACGGTGGCTTATTAGAGGACTTATAGAACGGCCAGAGACCGCACCTGGTGACCCCACCTATCATATCATGCCCATCACACCACAAACACTGCTTCCGCCGCTGCTATCTGTTCCCTTTTAATTCCTACGATTGTACCTTACCAATGACAATGAAAGGGATAAGCAGCTTGAAGGCTAGTGTGGTTGGAAAAGTGTGTTAGTGGGGGTTCGCATGCCATCAGTACACATGACCAAGACCTTCCATCCAAAGGCAAACCACACTGGTTTTGCTCCTCTCTCAGCAGGTAAGGTACCTAGGCAAGCATACATACCCACGTCAGCATCTTCCCCGAACGTCCTTACTCATCATCACATCTCTATGCGTACGTCCATTCCATTCCATGATATTTTGTCTAATATTCAAAACTACCGCTTAGAGGGAACCCTACTCCAAAACACTGCCTACCGTCTCCCCAGCACCCAGGCGTCAGTTTCCACCTAAGGAGCACGGCTGCTGATACCTCCGTTTTGTTCAGGACGTAAGCCTTCGACCACAGCAAGAACAAGCGCAGATGATGTGCCGCATTATCACCTCCTCCATCTCCGAATTTGATACAGTATTTGTCGTGCTCAATCCTGCCGCTCCGCCCTGGTACCCCAACTACGTTAGTTGACGAGAGGGCGGTTTGAGGCGGGCCCTGAGCACGCACTCCAGTACATCTGCTGTATGGTTTGGATAGGGAACTCAGTACGACGGTCTATACTTCGATGTCCTGCCCCTCCCGAGGACCGTGACCGCAGCATATGCCCCTTAGGCCCGTTAGGGTCGTGTACCCACCACAGATTCCTCACGGGCTCTGGCGATACGGTCGAATGGAGGCCTCGGACGAAGAACCTCAGGTTCCTATTCCATCCCACG